AAAAAAAAAAAAAGAAATGTTTGTTTTAAAATGTCAGCAGGGGGCACCCCACTCAAGAATATAATTTAAGCTTTAAATAAAAGTATTTAAATGAAGATTTCACTGGTTTCTTTTTAATGAGCATACTACAAACCTTCTCAAGGTATCAAATCTTCAACCATTACCTAAAAATCCTATTTTTAACACCAGATTTTACTGAGAGAGACTAACATTAGAAGCTGCATTAAGAGTAATAACCCAAAAAAGTATTTGGTGAACTCCTATGGTTTCCCCCATATTTCACCAGCATGGTAGAATAATTGCTATCATACCACTACCATAATTCACAAAATCCCTTCACCCCTATTTTTTCATTTACTTCTAATAATCATATGAGATAAGCAATCTTATAAGCAAGCTTGATAATAACTACAACTTCCATACCCTCCTCCAGGCATATTAAGCAGCCATTAAGAACCAGGCACGTATAAGGCACTTCATCTATTTCTCTCATTCAAATTTTAATTATTAACAAAAATTGAGAAGTAGTTACACTATCCCCATTTTACACATGAGGAAGCAGTCTCAGCAGTTAAAGCAATTTGCCCAGGGGGTAGATCTGCATTCCACATCCAGGTCTGTCTGAATCCTAAGCCTATGCCATTTCCTTATCCCACAAAGACTCCAGGAACTGGAGATTCAGAAAAAGGTAATTAGTTGGCCCAGTCAAGTTGGCAACCAGAGCCCAGCATCTCCTAACTCTTGATCTAATGTGCTTTTCACAGTTTATAGATCATAATCCCATTAGATTATAAATAACCTCATAGGGAAGTTACATGCTATGTGAGGGAAAGATACAGATGGCAAAGAGAAAACTCCTAGAAGTATAACTAAATAACAATGTGGGGATCAGAGTTAAAGTATTTCGAATGAATACATAAAAGAGTACCAGTCGATAAAGTTTCCAGAAGTAGTGCAGATAATCCCGGAATTGTATTTATAATATTAGGATAAGAGCTATTTTTAAGTAGTGCAGATAATCAGTTGAGCGCTCCTGCGCTCCCAGCGCCGCACTCTCCCGAGTGCACCACGGGCTCGGTCCTTCTTTTTAAATTTATAATTGGGATGCCTATAGAAATTGCATATGAGTCAGAGTTGTCACTACTTCAGAATAATGTATGATAATTATTTAGGACTCTGTACTTTTGATCAGTAGGTATACTGAAGTTACTTAATAAAATCACAAAGAATAATTTTTAAAATATAAATGTTACTTACATATCCCAGTTTGGAGCTATTCGCAAATGCTGAATTAGCAACTGGAACTAGAACAAAAAATTCAAATGTACATTTAACCCATGAAACAACACAGAAAGTGACAGCTACATCAGAGCTTTATACAACTGAGGTGTAAATTATGCACCAAGGAGATGATTATTTACAAACATACAAAAGCACTGAGTATATGAATAAGATAGAAATAAAAAATAAAAACAGTACTTCTGGTTTCTCCTACCACTTTATATTCCCTAAATGTTCACCCCCACCCAAAAGACACACACCAACCACCAGAAAAAGTAACCTTAATACTATCCTGGAAGCAAATGAGGGCCCACTATTAAAAAAAAACCACCTCCAAACCACTGTAATTCCTTTCTGGGAATGACTTCATAAGCTATGCCAGATTCTCAGGGGTTTACCAATGAACCAAGACAGTCCAAAAAGTAATATTCTCAGGGGGAACAAAAAAAAAAGTCTTAGAGATTCATGTCTCCCTTCGATGTCACATGAGAGATCTGGGAGTTTACCAGGTTGATCCAGTAAGGGAGCTCCCTATTCCACATGTTCATTTCAGTCACTGATGAAAAGGTCTGTCTTATGACTTCAGATATGAAAAATACTTGCAGTTATTACAAGTTAGCATAAAATGCAAGCCTGAGTCATCACAAAAGAAAAAGTTCAAAATTACCATCTACTTAACTACCTGTAGACCTAAGGATTAAACAGAAAAATTTTCATAAACCTATAATCTTGATAAGTCACTTTTTTCATTGTGATTAAGTCAAGTAAGTATTTTATCACTGGCTTTAATCTCCACAAAAATACAAACGTTAAGTGCATAAGGCATGTTGTGCAGGGACTCTAGAACAGGTTTTTACATCACACCTACCAGGGGTGAATGGAGGAGCCTGGTGGCTACCTCCTTGTGGCCAGCTACCATGCATAAATAGCAAAGGAGATTCAACTTGACTCGGGAGGCCCCTGTGCTCTTCTCAGTGGAGTCAAGCTGTGAGCACACTTGTTGCAAAAAGTCCTTCCAATCTTGGCCTTTCAGAAATAATAATTTATCCACTACAGAGGAAGAAAATAGTAAAAATGTGTATAGTATGAAAAAGGATTGCTGAAAACATGTAAGAAATAAACAGAGTTTCAGTAGCTAAAGAACAAAGAAAATTGTAATATTACAGAGTGAAAACCAAAAATACTCCAAAAATGACACTATATTTATTTGTCCTTCTATATTCCTCATTTCTTTCTACCTATAGAGACTTTTTAACTACTTCAATGGAAAAACTATGCTTAAAAAAAGAAGGCAGATGCCTGAAACCTAAAATACAAAAAAATGCAAAGTTAAATAAAATTATACTAAAAGAAAACAAGATAATCTTTGTATAAATAAATCAACCCAGCTCTAAAATATTGAAAAGCCACAAATTCTACAGTTGTTAACAAGGTACAGTGAAATTACTGTTAAACATATAGAGGTTAACATAACTGAAATCATTTGGAATTCCTACCTCCAGCTCCCTATACAAACAAAAAGCAAAAACTAGGAAATGAGATGCCATCTAAGATTAACATATTTTTAGGCCGGCCAGTTGGCTCAGTTGGTTAGAGCACAGCTTTGTGACACCAAAGTCAGGGGTTCAGATCCTCATACCAGACACGCACCAAAAATATATATTTTTAGATGATCTCTAAACAAAATAAATTTTTAAAAATTCCTAAATAACTCAAAGGGGAAAAGGAAAAGCAGTATTTCCAGGTAATAATTCTCTAGGTTTTCATAAATAATGGTTGTAAATATTAATAATATTTTTCTTCTTTCTGACCTTTCATGTCCATCCTTCTATAAGGTTTCTTTTTTGTTTTTATCAGTAATTAAGCTCACCTATATAAGCCATTAGTCAGTTTATATTCTATTTTGAATGTACTTCAAATCATAGATTCTACTCTAGCCATGATGAAGAATTTTCTCCAAATCTAGTTTAACAGCTTGAAATATAACTTGTCAAACAAAATAAATCAATTTAAGGTATGTAAACATTTCTAATGTTCTAATTAAGATTTTCATTACTTGAAAGGAAACATAATAATCATTCTTTAAGGATCTCCATTCCCACACCATCCCCACAAAAGTGAACTATTTATTCATGGTCTCAGCTGTCAAGCAGAATCCCAGTTCTTCACTGTGGTTCCCAACCCTGTGCACCCACAACATCATCGTATTGGTAGAAATTCAACTAACTCTACAAGGGAAAGGACAGGAGAAGAATCCTCACCCAACATGAAAACTCACCCAGCTCTACAGGAACTTCCCTACCCTCAAGAATATAGGGCAGACCAGAATTAGCTGAGAAATATCAAAGTCTAGCACAAACAGATTACAGATTGTTTACAATTTGCATAACACTGGCCCAAGAACACAGCCAACTGGCAAAAAAGTAGGAATTTAGTTATTAAATACAAATACTCCATTTGCAAATAAACTTAATATTTGTATCTTCATACAAAGAGTCTGTGTGTTTGATAAGCCCTTTATGATCCTACCTGAATGTGCTGGTAGATGTAATATTTTTGGATCAAATCTAATTGGTGGTTGTTTCATTATCTGTGGTTAAAAAAAACAAAACAAAAAACTTTTGAGATGCTTTTTGAGACATACCCGTCTCTTGATATATCCCCTATATCAGATTACAAATCAATGAGGACAAAAACGAATGCTGTAAAATTTAATTGTCACCAAAAGTGTAAGAATTCAACAGTGTTCTTTCTGATTAAAATACACAAATATAGATAATAATTTATTTTTAAAATCAATCCCCTATATCAGATTACAAATCAATGAGGACAAAAACGAATGCTGTAAAATTTAATTGTCACCAAAAGTGTAAGAGTTCAACAGTGTTCTTTCTGATTAAAATACACAAATATAGATAATAATTTATTTTTAAAATCATTTCAATTGATATCTGCAATAAAATAAAGCTTCACAGATAAGATTTACCTCTTGGTTTACTCTTTAGCTAACTTACCTCTAGGTTATAAATTTATTCACTCAACAGATATTTATTGGGTACCTGCCAGGATGAAGCACAGTGGTGCTAAGGGCTAAGGAGGGATACAAAGATGTAAAAGCAGAGAGCTGATACTATGGTTGGAAAGATGAGACAAAGATTTGTTAAATCAATAAAACATAAAATATTTAAGTAACAATTCAAACCAGGCAGGACATAATTAGGGACAAAACATTTCACAGAGAAATTCTTAACAAAACAATAATTTAGAGAATACAGCAAGCACTTTAGGCTGATGGGGTCAGGACTGGGTTTATACAAGACGTGGAAGGTGGGTTGAGGTCTTGAAGGATGGTTAAGACTTGACGGTTGTACTAGAGAAGACACCATCATTCCAGCAAACTGGAACAGCATGAATAGGAAAGTTCACAATTTATCTGAGGAAAAGTGAAAACACCATGTAGTTGGATCCATGATTTTGGAACATCTTGAGACTTTCAATGAAAAATTCAACCATCATTTCTATGACTAACTTCTCCAAAACCTCTATATAGCTTTTTTTAAATCTTTACTGGTAGAATTCTTGCCAAAAATGCATAATCGCATTCTAATCTAATAATCTAAATCTCATAATCTAACTTCATTCTAATCATTAGAAACCTTCAGACGAATCCAAACTGAGGGACATTCTACAAAATGCTGACCAGTTACTCTTCAAAGTGTCAGGCCATAGGCTGGCCCGTGGCTCACTTGGGAGAGTGTGGTGCTGATAACACCAAGGCCACGGGTTCGGATCCCACATAGGGATGGCCGGTTAGCTCACTGGCTGAGCGTGGTGCTGACAACACCAAGCCAAGGGTTGAGATCCCCTTACAGGTCATCTTTAAAAAAAAAAAAAAAAAAAAAACAAAGTGTTAGGCCATGAAAGAAAAGGAAAGACTGAGAAATTCTCACAAGGCCATGAAAGAAAAGGGCAGACTGTAGGAGACTACAAAGGCATAACAACTAACAGTAATGCAGGATCCTGGAACAAAAAAATAACATTAGTGGTACAACTGGTAAAAATCAAATAAGTTTAGTAGTTCAGTTAATAGCACTGTATCATCCATGTTAATTCCTAAATTTTGCTAACTGTACTATGATCCTATAAGATGTTAACATTAGGAGAAGCTGGGTAAAGGTATACAGGAACTCTCTATTTTTGAATCTTTTCTCTAAGTCTAAAAGAATAGTTTAAAATAAAATATTAAAAAACAAAAAAAAGTGTCTACTGACTAGGGTTTCCCAGAAACTACTAAGTATGGTTATAAGATGAAATAAAGAAATACAAAGAGAATATGGTCAAAAGATATCACAAATTGTTCTACAAAGTCTTCTGTGAAAATGCCCCACAACCCATCAAATTTAGCATAATATACAGTTACTGTACCAGACATCTGAACTCATAAAAAGAATTTGCTCCACTATGAAAAACAGCTAAATAATCTACATGAAATGCTGTCTATCTAGAAAATAAATATGAATCCAAGAACCCGTTTGATCTAAACCATAGTAATGTTCTCCAAGGAGATAAGAAGAAACAAGGAATTAATACAGAAAAAGACGATCCTTTTTTTAAAAAAAGGAAACAGGAAAATTGAAACACAGGCTAGGTAGTGGGATGTGAATGTGTTAGGGGGCTGAAAATCAAGAGAAGGGACTAAGAAATTAATTTTTTTAAAGGTGAGTATTCATCATCCCTTAGTAATATAATATTACATTCCAAAAGACAGGAAGCAACAAAACACACTAGATTAGAAGTGCTTTGTGATCCATGACTTCCCACGCTCCCACGGTGTCTCCCTACCATCTACCAAGCAGTCTTAACAACCTATGAGAGAGTAGGGTCTCTGTGTGATCTGCCTGCCCACCCAACCCAGGCTGGTGAGCAGAGCTCACTGACATCTGCCTTGATTATACATCGGGGACTAGACTATTTGGAGGGATTTGCATAAGTATGTGTGGAGAAATGAAGGGACTGAGAGCTAAGTTCTGAGGTCCAGAAGTCAGCAGCCACCCCTTGGTGCATGAAGAGTGCAGTAATGAGAGGCACAGTAGACGTGTCAAAAACAGGAGAAAGCTCACCACACTCCAGTGAAGTGGAAGTGAAGGAAGAGGAGAAGGTTGGAGAAAGGGTGGAAGCTGGAAATGCAGACATGTGGCACAAATGAAATAGAAGCAGACAACAAGAGGAACAGGAAAGAAAAGAAGGAAAAGAATATCCTGAATGAAAATATCACACAGGTTTCAGACCTCGGTAAAGTCTAACAGCCCTCCAGTGTTACAGTATCTTTCTGCACCTTTGGATTGTCAATAATGGGGGTGATGACAAGATCTGAGTCTGTGTAGATAAGCGCTCTCATCTGGGATTCCAGGTCCTGCTGACTCAGGTGTCCACTTGTGATCTGAAACAAAAACAAAAATTGCAATTTGTTTCTGTGACACATGAAAAAAACATAGCTCAGAGAAAATAAGTTAATTGCTCGTGTTTACCACTAAGATTGGTTAGGACTAGAAAACAGATCTTTACAGTTTGATGTTCTAAAATGTGATAAGGCAAACTGGTTTTTTGATTACCAGCATGGCTTTTATTTTTCATTCATAGAACACTAATCAATTTATTTCTGCTTTGCATAATATTCAATATGAAGTTAAAATTGTAAAATGAAAACTTTTCAGACTAAAGTACTGACCTACTACGTAAGTGTTAAATACCTGTACATTTATTAAACCTAGTTAAAGTAGAGCTGATACATAAAGAAAATGAACAACCAGATGTTCACCATCAGTTATTCCTTTGAGGTGTTTTTTTTTTTTAAAGGGGGATCTTAACCCTTGACTTGGTGGTGTGAGTACCACACTCTCCCAAGTAAGTTAACCGGCCATCCCTATACAGGGGACCCGAACCGTGGCCTCACTCTCCCAAGTGAGCCACCGGCCAGCCCTGAGGTGTTTCTTTGTGCTCTACTTAAACAGAACTTTTATTTCTAGTGCCATGCCTTTGTACTTTCCATTAGAGAAACAAAAGAACATTTATGCATTAAGAATTTCAACCGAAACAATGACTAGAAACTGAATAAAACAGAACACCAGCCAGGCTCAGTGGCACATGCCTGTTGTCCCCAGTACTAGGGAGGCTGAGGCCAGAGGGTCGTTTGAGCCCAAGAGCTCTGGGCTGTGGTGCACTATGCAGAGTGGGTGTCCACACTAACTTTGGCATCAATATGGTGGCCTCCCAGGAGTGGGAGATCACCAGTTTGCCTAAGGAAAGGTGACCAGCCCAGGACAGAAACAGAGCAGTTTAACAGAGAAAACCAAATCAGTGAAGTAAACAAGAAGGAAAAGAAATTATCCAAAATTGGAATGGGGGGGAATGAAGGAACACAAGAGTTAGCTAATAAAGTTCCTAGACACCAAGACCACTCCTTGCAACTCAGGTGAAACACATAAAAAACACATGAAGAATAAGTAAGGAGAAACTTGATAAAAAAAAAAATTTTTTTTTTCTAAGTTTAAGAACATGGACTTTCAAGACAAGAAGATAGGTAGACTTACACTGCCACTTGTTAATTATGTGACCTTAAGAAAGTTAATGAAAAAACCTTTGTTTTGTTCATCTATAATAAATATTAAAACTAACAACCTTACAGGATTGAGAAGAATAAACAGAAGATTTAAAACAATGCCTGACACTGCTCAAAAAAAGACAGTTGTAATTAATGAAGTTATTTTAAAAAAAAAAAAAAAAAAAAATCACACTGGCTTCAGCAGAGAATGGCTTGCCAGGGAGCAATGGAGAACTGGGGAGACCACCTAGTAGATTACTGCAATAGCCTGAGTAGACAGGATGGTGTCTTCTGTGAGGCATGAAGTAGAATGAAAGAAGAGAAGTTACTAACAAAGCAAAGGCCTGCTGATTTAACACTGTGCAGGCACTGCCAGTAAATTGTATTAGTCCATAGAGTAAAGTAAGACATCAATATTTGAAAGAGAGGTGGCCAAATTATCTTTATTTGTAGATGATATAACTGAACATCCAGAAAGCCAAAATTAATTAACTGAATCAAAAAGACAAAAAATAAATGCTAGGGAGAATGTGAAAAGAGGGGATGGGAATGTAAACTAGTACAGCCATTATGGAAAACAGACCCAAAGTGTCTCAGAAAACTAAAAATAGAGATATCATATGCTCCACCAATCCCATTGCTGAGAAATATATCCAAAGGAAAGGAAATCAGTATACTGAAGAGAGATCTGTATCCCCATCACTATTCACAATAGCCAAGATGTGGAATCAACCTAAATGTCCATCAATGAATGAACAGATAAGAAAATGTGGTATATATACACAATGGAATGCTATTCAGCCATTAAAAAAAAAAAAAGAATGAAATCCTGTCATTTGCAGCAACATGGATGAGCCTGGAGGACATTATGTTAAGTGAAATAAGACAGGCACAGAAAGAGAAATACCACATTTTCTCACTCATATCTGGGAGCTAAATAAAGTTCATCTCATAGAGGTTGAGAGTAGAACAGTGGTTACCAGAGGCTGGGAAGGGTAGTGGGAAGGAAAGATACAAAGAAAGTTTGGTTAATGGGTACAAAAGTATAGTTAAAAAGAATAAGTTCTAGTGTTCAAGAGCACAGTAAGATGACTACAGTTAACAACAATTTATATTTCAAAATAGCTATTAGAGAAGATTTGAAATGTTCCCAACACAAAGAAATGATACATGCATGAGGTGATAGATATCCCAATTACCTTGATTTGATCATTACACATTGTATACATGTTTAAAATTATCACATGTACCCAATAAATTTATACAATTCTTATATATCAATAAAAAATAAATCAACTGAATAATTATTAGAAATAATATAAGAATTAGTAACATAGACCAATTAAATTAATCTCCTATAGGTAAATTGAGTATATGACAAGTTACAAAAATTTAATATCCCATCTACAGTAGCAAAAAATAAAATAAAATTATCAGGAATAAACTAAGTAATCAATACTTGCAATGAGATCACAATCACTAAATGAAAAAAAATTAAGTTATAAAATTATGTTCCCTTGTTTGAAAATGAACATATATGTATGAAACCAGAAGTAGAAATATGAAAATGTAATCAGTGTTTACTCTGGGTAATTTAAATATAATTAATTTTTTTATTTTCTTTGTCCTCTTTTATGTTTTCCAAGTTTTCTACAATTATTATGCAATTTTCATAATTGAATAAAAGTATTATTTAAAAACTATAAACCATAGACTACCTTATAGTAGTTAAATAAATATTACTTGAATTTTTTCAATAAAATGATTATATACTACCTTCTACAATAGACATCTGCCAGAAATGCTTTAACATATACTGGATTTCAGAATGCATTTAGTTTTACACTGATTTTTCAATTTCACATATAACCAAATTATTAGCTGAGTCAGATTTTATTATAACCCATTTACATTAAATTTCACTGCAGAAATTAGTTTTACATGGTCCAAATATATTTTATATTACATAAAAATTACAGTAACTGAAAGCAATTATGTTTGTCAGACAATAAGTATAATAATGCTGAGTCAGATTTTATTATAACCCATTTACATTAAATTTCACTGCAGAAATTAGTTTTACATGGTCCAAATATATTTCATATTACATAAAAATTACAGTAACTGAAAGCAATTATGTTTGTCAGACAATAAGTATAATAAAAATAAAATGGACAAATTTTTTAATTCAAAGTATTTCTGCATTCAAAACAACTATGATTGAAAAAAATTTTTTAAAGACCTAAATAAATAGACATTCTATGTTCATAAAGCAAAATTAATGTCATTAAGATGGCAATATTCCCCAAACTGATCTACAGTTTAAATGCAATTGCTATTAAAATCCCAGTTTGCTTCTTTGCAAAAACTGACAAGCTGATCTTAAATTTTATATTTCCATATGATGGAAATGCACGTGACCCAGAATAGTCAAAAGAACCATAAAAAACGAACAAAGTTGGAAGAGTCATACTTCCCAATTTCAAAATTTAATAAAAAGCTGTAGTAATTGAGATAGGGTGCTACTAGCATAAGGACAGACAAACAGATCAATAGAATAGAGTCCAAAAATATGCCCTCATATTTACAATAAATTGATTTTCAACAAGGGTGTCAAGACAGCTCAATGGGGAAAGAAATATCATTTCAACAAATTGTGCTGAGACAACTGGATATCCACATGCAAAACAATGAAGCTGTACCCCCTACTTCACATATATATAAATGAGTTCAAATAGATCAAAGACATAAATGTAAGAGCTTACAAAACAACCAGAAAAAGTAACGAAATAGTAGGAATAACTTCTCACATATCAGTAGTAACCTTGAATGTGAATGGATTAAACTCGCCAATTAAGACAGAGTGGCTAAATAGACAAAAAAACAAGACCCAACAATATGCTACATATAAGAGACTAGCCTAACTACTAAAGATAAAATAGATTGAAAGTGAAGAACTGGAAAAAGATATCCCATGCAAATGGAAACCAAAAGCAAGCAGGAATAACAATACTTTTATCAGATAAAATAGATTTTAAATCAAAAACTATAAAAAAAGGCAAAGAAGGTCATTATAAAATGATAAAGGGATTGATTCAACAAGAGAATATAATAATTAATATATATGCACCCAACACCAGAGAACCCAGATACATAAAGCAAACATTATTAGATCTAAGGGGAAAGATAGATTGCAATTCAATAACAGTAGGGGACTTCGATACCCCATTTTCAACAGTGGATGTACCATCTAGACAGAAAATAAAGAAACATCTGACTTGAACTACACCACAGACCAAATGAACCTTACAGACGTTTACACAACATACCAAGAAACAGCTGCAGAATACACATTTTTGTCAGCTACACATGGAACATTCTCTAGATCATATATTAAGCCATGATCAAGTCAACACAAATTTAAAAAGATAGTATATCAAGTACCTCTTCTGACCACAATGGTATAAAACCAAAAAACAAGAAAAACATCATAAACTATACAAATATATGAAAATTAAACAACATGCTCCTAAACAACCAATGGGTTAATGAAAAACTAAAAGGAAAACTTAAAACTTCCTTGAGACAAATGAGAATGAAGACACATCATACCAAAACCTATGGGACACAGCAAAAGCAATTCTAAGAGGAAGCTTTATAGCAATAAATGACTACATTGAAAAGGAAGATTTCTTACAAACAACCTAATGTTGCACCTAAAGAAACTAGAAAAACAACAAACTACACCCAAAATTGGCAGAAGGAAAGAAATAATAAAGCTCAGAGCAGAAATAAATGAAATTAAAAAAAAAAACAAAAATGCCGATGAAACAAAGAGT